GTCGGAAGATTCGTATTTTTTCAACTTTTATAAAAGGTGTACCGTTTAAAACCAACTCCCTTTTTTAAAGATCAATCAAAATTATCAACGATGCCTAAATTTAAAATTTTGCTTATCATCGTATTTATTTTAACAAGCTTTATGCACACACCTTTTGCCATTCCACCTAACCGTCAAAGAAATTGCGGTCTATTTGATCTCATAACTTTCACAAACCCACCAAGCACAATTGGAGTCACTTCTCTTTTATGCAGTTCAGATGTTACCAAATCGTTTTGTGCAGTTTATAATGTTCCGTGCATGCCTGGGATCTTTAACAGCGTTGTAGTTGTTGGCGGTTACAAGGTTCAGGGTGAAACTTTTAATTCGAGTAAAATGACTAATAATGGTCAGTGTGTAGTTGGAGAAAACGGTACTGCAACTAGCACATGGTATTTTGATGATGGAAATAATGGATGGATTTGGGCTGGTGTAACAAATGGAGGGAAAGGTAGTTGTTCTCCATAAACGTACATCATAACAGATTTAGTCCGTAGGGTGTGAAAATTTCTTAAATGAACGAGTGTATATTTGAGTGAGAGATAGTATTAATATTATGTACTTTCGGTTATTTTATTTGTCAATAGTCCAGATTTCGGATCACCTAATCGCGTAAACGTGTAAATATTTCTTTGTTTATAAAAGGACTATTGTAAATGTGAAACCAAATAAAGAATTTAAAATAATAAATGGAGTAACTCTAGGGGTGTTGAATAATTTATAACGTCAATGCAGTCTCTCGCTCATGAATTTCTAAACTAAATACGTCATAATAATTTGAGTTTCGCGTCACCTCGGAACTTGGAGATCGGCGACTGTGCCATATGTTCTAGGATATTATGTTTTTAAATAAATCGTTACGTAGTGTTTAATTCGTAGAGATCAAAATTCTCCATTATAGAAGAATTTAGTGTACAATATCTTTCTGACCATTGGTAAAAGACATTGCTTTTTTCAAAATATATAGTTTTATAAGACTATTTTAGAGAGTTTCATTTGACTTACTTATAAGAAAAAAAAATCATATTATTGTTAGGTAATTATGGTTTTATTATATTCTCTTATTCATGTCAATAAACTTCTTTCAAAAGGGATCCATTTTATTGAGATTGCTTCAAATAATCTAAGAAACTTATTTATTCTTGTATAAAATTCTCCAAGAATATTAAGAAGCTTATTCTTCT